GAATGACAATGAGGGGGTTTAAAGACACGGTTCAGGGCCGTAGGGTTTAGGGTTTTGGGGGTTTTGGGGCTCTAGGGGTTCTGGGTAGGGTTGTGAGAAAGGGTTCAGGCTTTAGGGTAGAAAGGGTGGTGTGGCCTTTGAGGTGGGTTTTATGGCTTGGGGTCGGGTTTCAAGGTATGGTGGTGCATTTTTCCTTTGGAATGGCTGCTGAAAGGGTGCTTCGAAGAGCTATGGGGTTCAAGGCAGGTTCATATGAAGTAGGGTATATATTTTGCGTTCAGTATGGAGAGATGCGGGGGGCAGCATGCGGGGGTTGGATGTTTGCATGGCCGGACCGAGGACACGACCTGATGTTGGAACATGGGCTGCGGAAGGATTCGGTGTTCCCTCGTGAAGCCAGGGGCATTGATACTCACCTTGAATCTGCATTAGGTGTTCAGAAGTCAACGAACTGTACCGGAAGCATACAAAAATATCGCATCCCATCCAATTCCCACGAACAGAACCTAAACCTCCCTCGGCCCAAGACGCCAAGACCCCACCAAAACCCAAGTCTTTTCTTGACGGAACGAAGATCTCCACCCTTTGGTTCCTTGGGAGCAGGTCACAGTCAGGCCTCGCAGATCTTTTCAAGATTGAGGTTTCAGGGGTTTTGGGGGTTTAGGGTTTAGTACCCTTGTGCATGAAACGGCAGAAGCTGCAGCTTTTCGGCAGACAGATCTGTGGAGGCTTTCGCAGTTCTCAACAGCCGCCGCCTCGGATCCGCGTGTTGGTTCAATACATAGGCCTAGGGCCCTAGAGCCGTACGCAAGCATCCCTGACGCATCGCTGACATAGGACCTTATGCCCCATTTCCCAGAGAGCCCAATACCCCTTAAATAAGGCATATGCCTTAAATTATAGGGGCCTTAATATTATGATTTAAGGTATATTCCTTAATTAAGGGGTATTGGGCTCTCAGGGTTGTGGATGTCAACCTGAAGCCCCCCTGGATCCGAGGAAGCCAGGAGTAAGTCGAGTCTGCAAATCTAGAGCCTCCCGGGTCCCAGAGATTCAAAGAGCCTTTATAGTCCTTCATAGTGGGCATTTGGGGTATCATAGAGGCTAGTCGGGGGTCTATTTTTGTAATGATCCCTCCTGAAGGGTTTTCTCACGCAGCACTCCTTCTTGAGGTTTTCGCATTCCTCAGTTGTGGGGGTTAGGGTCTCAAGGGTAAAGCTGTCACTACCAAAGCCCGATGTAGGAGCCCATGGTGCCATAGACTTTCGGTATAAGACCGTGGCCCAAGAAACGAAAACGATTCCATACCTTCCTCATGGCTGACAGCTTCGAATTGCTCTTGGGATCCCGCGATGCTGCCGCACTTTCTGAGGCATCGAGGGGCCGCCGAAAAATGACGACCTCTTGGCCTTCCAAGTCATGCGTCGGACCGAGGGCCTCCTTTGCAAGCTGGATGTGTTGGGGTTGAGGGTCTGCTGCTGCTGCTGCGGCTGTGTTGATATTGGTTCAATGGAATCCTGAACGGAATGTGTTCAACTTCGTGCCTTCGAGCTGTGAGATTTTATAAATTCCCCGACCACCACAAGCATACAAACACTGATTGTGGGGTTAGGGTTTTGGGGCCTTTGGGGTTTGGCCTCAGTATGGGAGCATTACCCTTTGGCATCACGGGAAAACACCCCAAACCCCAGACCGACAGGGCTCATGTAGTTACTAGTAGTTTAGAGTTTGGTGTTTCCCCAGCCTTTCTGCGATCGGAAGCCAAACCCTCCTTAAACCCCCCCAAAGCCTGAAATCATGAAGGGCAGCAAACTCCTGAGCCCTTACGTTGCTTTTTTTCCGAGTGTGCCGCCTCCAAGCTTAAAATCATCCGGCCGAGGTCTGTGCAGGCATGCCGGGGGCTTCCCTAAAGGGGTTCGGAGAGGTTTTGGGGTTCCCAGAGGTTTCAGAGGGTCTGGGTTTCAGGGCCTTCAGGGCTTGGGATTTGGGGCTATGGCAAAAATAGGATGGACCCAAGTTTGTTAGTTTCAGAAACTTTTTCGCGGTTTTAACCCGTGGGACCAGCTTTGTTTCTTGCGGGCAGGGCCAACCCTCCCCACTCCGAGGGATCGGGATGGATCGGTTTGCTTCCGGGAGGTCTCTCTTTCAAGGTTACTTTCGGAGCAAGAGACGTATCTCTTCGGGACTGGGTCTGTTTGCGGCAGGAGAGACTAAGAAATCGGACCGGGCTTGTTACTGCAAGGAGAAGCTACCTCTCTACTGAATAGAGGGAAGCTAAGTGTCTCCCGAACGGATAGTCTGGCAGCGACGATGATGGCGAGGGTGACTTGACGACGATGATGGTGATGGAGAGGGAGATGAAGATGATGATGCTGCTGATGACGACGAAGAAGAAGATGATGATGAGGATCATGGTGATGATGATAGTGATCGTGATGGCTCCGGTGGTGAACTTTTTTTGTAGCTGACTTGACGATGCCGTCGCTGCTGCTGGTGGTTATTATGATGCTGTTGATGAGGGGGAGCAGGAAGGAGATCAAGATACATCTGCTCTAGGACGCGGCAGTTCGTACATTCTACAGCAGCGTTCAGGCGGTGCTTGAGTGCATAGGATCACCCCGTTCCCTTGCACAGATCTTCTGCGCAGTTGGCGACGTGCAGAAGGCGCCCCGGACTTCAGCTTTCCAGCCTCCGGGGGCCGAAAGGCTAACCCCAACAACCTCGGACCCCAGGACAGCTCATGACCATTGGCCTGCGTCGCTCTGTGGCATCGCATCGCTTGTGTCGCAGCTGCCGGTTTCAAACAGCTTCGAGCCAGGCGGGCTGTTCGTATCGAGTTGTTTGAGCAACGGTGCATGAGGGTGTAGGGCAAAGAAGTCCGCCAACTCTGGAGATTTCCCAATCTTTTCGGACGATGAAGCTTATCTCTCACCCTACACCCGAGCTTAGGGCTTGTCCCCATCCTGCGTAGTAGGGATTTCGGAGTAGATCTCACGGCACCGGGATGGCTTTCTTGCGCCGGCATCTGCCAAGCCTTGCGCGTGCTGCACGCGGAGCGGCCAATGGTGGAAGCGGCTGATCATCATTAGCTGGGGAGGTTAAGTTCTGCAGATGGGCACGACAGATATGCTTATGGCCGAATCTACATGCCGATGTGCACCGAGTCGCAGTGTGTCTCCTCGCTCATACTAGCAAAGGAGCACATAACACGGGGAATGCATGCTATGGTAGGTACGTATGTGGGTGGGTGGTGGGTATGTTTTCTATAACCAAGCTTGAACATTGAACCCCCTTGACCCTAAACTCCAAACGTGGGCCAGTGGCCACTGTCGAGTCGAGTACTTGTTGGTCTGCACGGCGCCGGACCTGGCTACTCGGCAGCTTCGCATTTCGTCGAGTCGCCAGAGTCGACACGCACTTTGCCCTGAACTCTGACAGTCTGACACCCATGGAGTGTCCGAGTTGCGGGAGTCCGAACCCTAATGAACACCCTCGTCCTGGTGTGCAGGGCCGCGCATCCTACGGTCGGAGGTGTCGGACATCACCTTCCACTTCGCGGTGACCGGTCGGGAGTCAGAGCTTTAAGGGATTTAGGCCGTGAATTTAGGGATTTAGGGTGTGTATACATTGTGTGCCCGGTGGGTGCCCCTTTTACTTTAGGAATATATACGGGAACACCCACTTGTCGTGCGCTTGCGGAAGCATCCACCCTCACTATTCTCAAGTAGGGTTCAGGGCTCACCCCCAACCCCCCTCAAGGGGGGTTTCTTGCTCTCTGCTTCCCCTCGCAATTCGACGCATAAACGACCACATGTCACAGCAAACCACAGCTGAGATGGATTGGTGTCGGGTTGTGGGTCCTCGCGGCCTCTGCCGGCCGCTCGACGAGAAGCAAGCTCTTCCAACTAACAACCCGAAAACCGCCAGAAGCAGCTACAGTGCCCCCCAAAACCCTAGAGGTCGCCATCTAGGACCGCCCGGATCCTTGAAATTTGACCCAGGGAGGCCAACAAATTTGAGTTTTCGTTGCATATTTCCTGGACATTTGGCTGGTCGCCCCCTGGATCGGCCCAGCTGGAATCTGCCGGCATAGGGCTCGAGCCCACGGGCTGGTTCTTTTTTGGACCGTGTGTGGTTTTTTTTTGACCTTCGTTGACAGACTGGGGGTCGAGGTCATTATGGGCCCCTGCACCCAGCCCGCCCATTCGCGGTCAAAAAAGCCCAAGTGGCCCCATACACATGCCCAAACGAGGTCAATGCAGCCTACCTGGCCCCCCACACAAAACAGGAACCGTCAGTATGACCTTTTGTGGGCCATCACAAGCAGGGCCACGGTCTGCACGAGGTCACCAAAGTCTTGGGCACGGGCGCTTTCGAGCCCTACACGGCCCTTTTGGCCCCCCTCGCACGGCCAAATGAGAACCCGGACAAGGTCAAAGCGGAACCCACGGCAGACGAGGTCAAGCAGGAGCCCCACAAGGCCGCCCATTCGCGGTCAAAAAAGCCCATGTGGAGCCCACCTGCAGGTTGGCATTTTTGGGGCCTCATTTTCACGGGCTGACGCCCGTATGGTCAGAGCCGTAGCCGAGTTATTTTCCGCCCCCGTTAATCGGACGCTCGGCCGGGAGCCTCGGTCGGAGCCTCGAGCGCCCATGCAACTGGTCAGCGGCACTCTCGGCAGTTTAGTGACTCTGTGAATCTGTGAATGCAAAGCACGAGCAAGCGTAAGAAGGCCTCATCAAGCAGTGCACGTGTAGAGATCACCGCTTGGCTCGGGGTCTTAATAACTCACAAACCCTACTCTAAGCCTTTGAACCGTCATCCCTGCAATATGGCCCAGGGCAAATCTGAAAGCACATGAAGTCTTATCGAGCATTCTATCAGAGCGTGCAGTGGGGTGTTTGGGCAGTACTGGGCTTCTGACTCATATTTGCAGCGTCGAATTTGGACCCTTCTGTCTCGAATCGGAGTTTCCTCCAGCCGAGGTTGAAGAGTACCTCATGAATGCGGAGAAGTTGACTGCTCCGCTGATGTCGCTTAGCAGAAAACCTTGTGAGGGCAGGTCTGATGAATAGAGATGATTACAGCAACGGGTCAGACCCCGAAGACTGCATGTTCAGCCAGCAAGTATATACATGTTGTGACAGCCTTCCACCGAGGTACCTTTGGAGACCACAGCCGGTGGTCACCATCGGACGGCACCAGATTCCCGGCAGCATTCGAGCTACTCGGGTCTTGCGAGGTACAGATGAGGGTTCGTGAAGGAGCCAGAGGGTTCAGTCCCTCAGGGCTAAGCTAATGACGCTATAGACTTGTTGGGATCTGTGCGATCTGCGTCTGCTGCACATCGGAGACGCCCGACAGTGAACTTTGAAGCCCCAAAGCCGTACGACCCGCCAAAAGCCCGTCCAAATCCCTCGACAACGAAAGCCCCAACTAAGCCCCAAGCCCTAAAGCCCCCAGCTCGAACAGTTACCGCCATGCCTGCTTTGCGAGTGTGTGAGTCGAAAGCCCCCAGACTTGCCCTAAACCCCAAACTCTCTAGTCTGATCCGACCCTTTGCTCAGGAATCCTTGGAAAGAGTGTGTTCTCTCGCAGCTGGACGAGGATCCATATAGGTAGCTTTCCAGGTGTTAGGGTGAAAGGATCCTTTAAACTTGGGCGTCTCTCTTGAAGAAGGGCGCCCAATCTAGAGAATTTCTCCACTCGGACATGGCTAGGGCTCTGGGCAGGGCTCTGGGCTGCAGGCTCGAGCCTCCTGCAATCTTCATCGAAAACAGGTTCTTCTAACAGTAGCAGGACCGCAAGACCCATGGGTCCCTTATTACATCAGGGTGAATTTAGTGGTCGTAGGCTTGCTTCATCAGAATGGATCCCTGAAGCAAGGGGTGGCCTCAACGCGAAGCTTTTGGATCATGCGAGTGTCAGGAAAAGGTCAAACATGTAGTCCGTAGATAGCAGGACACCTAGACGCCAGAATTGTCTAAAGAAGAAACCCTTTAATGCCTGTATAAATTCCTCACAAGCCCGTCACATGTAGAAGTCGATACAGCTTGTTTAAACGCCATGCCACTTGTTTGAGAAGCCTTGCATATTCCCTCCTTCCCAAACGCAGACCCAGTACACTCCAAACGCTTAACCTCAACCATCCTCATCCCCAGTTCATGGGGTTTAGGAAAAGGCAGAGAACCTCGAAATTATTCTGTGAGCTTACTATAGGGACCTTAACTGTTCGAAGATGGCTTTGGGGTATGCTCTACTGTAACGATAGACGGAGCACTGAAGAATAATCTCTATCTCCGCAGGACGGTGTCGCCTTGGTTCGCCGGCGATCGGGGGGCGGCGCCATCTTCCAGGATCGGTTTTCACGACATGTAGAAGGTCTACTGGGTGCGTTGGCTATTTTCATGAATTCAGCTTCGTTCTTCGTGGTAACCGCTCTTGTTGTCCCGGAGGTGATGACAGTGATGATGACAATGCTGACCCGGATGGTGGTCGTAATTAGTAATGTTATGTTCGCAGGAACCATGATGATGATGATGACGACTTTGGCTATTACAAGTGTCATGCTGTGTTATAATTTCCTACATACGTACATGCATGCATGCATGCATGCATGCATGCATACATACATACATACATACATACATTCGTGCAGTACGTATTCTGGTGTGCACGTGCAACGCGCCTTAGAACGTATGCAAGTGTAAATGCATATACAGATGCAAGTACAGAAAGGAGTAAGTGGGTTGGGAGTTTTGCTTCCCAGGCTTCTGTCGCTACTTACATCTGGCTGCAAGGCATTGTGGTTTCGTAGCTGTTCTGGTCCAGGGGCCTTGGCAATCGGAGCCTTTAGGTTTTGGGAAGGGCTAGACCTAAACACCCTGAAGCTTAACCTATCCCCGTTCCGAGACACAGCGTACCGTGAGGAGGCATGATTTTTTCGACACAAGCAAGCTGACTTTGGACCTGGGTGCCAGGTTAGACCCGGTCTTGGCTCTGGACCCTAAGCCCTTCAGCTCAGAACCCTACCGTTGGTTTGGGGTTAACCCCCCAAAAAACCCTGAAAAAGAAGCAGCGCAGGATGCTGGCTGCTCTGTTTTCACCTTCTTGTTCCCATCGGGGGAATTCGACATCGACCGTGGCCCGGCGCACGTTTGAACATCTTCGAGGTTTCGGGTTTTGGGGGTCAACGTCCAGGGTTTAGAGTGTCAGGTCCGCCACGTTGCGAGTGCCTGGGAGAGAGAGAGCGAGAGAGGGTGTGAGTTACCTTTTCACACCCCCTGAAAACCCCATGAAATTTGGGGGGCCAATAGGCCGGGGGGTCTAACCGACCCCTCATGCCCTGGGGAAGAAGAGAGAGAGCGGTTCCGCCACGAGAGCTGAAGCTTCGAGCGTCATGTGCACTGCAGACCCTCCTCAAAACAAGGGATCTAGGGTCTCGGGTTTAGGGTCGGAGTCTGGGTCTAGGCGTTGGGGCTAGGGCTTCGGGGGTTTAGGGATTCAGGGCCGAGCATTCTGGGCTCAGTTGCATAGGGTTCAAGGCATGATGGATTTGTTTGAGAGAATCCAGCACTGAAAAACAAGACGCACGCTGTTCGTATGGCATCCCTTCTCAAGAGAGGGTGTACTTCCTCAAGAACGGTTTCAGGGACTAGATTGATTCAGCGGCCTATCCTGCAGGAAACCTTTGCAAATGAATCCGGTCACTGCAACAGCCCGACGGACCCAACAACTTGCTATAAATTAGGAGCTGCCAACTGTCAGGTCTTGTCGGTGTCAGCAGTCCCTAACCCCAGTGAGTCTTTCGTGTGTCGTGCCTTGTCAGAGCATGCCAAACCATGCGCATATAGAAAATCTAGCAAGTTGCAAAACACCTAAGCCCAGAACTCGAAACCCTCTGGCGGACGGAAGAGGGACGTCTACAAAGAACACACCCTTGCAATAGGCTTCCGTATCCACGTGCAGACGGAAAAGGGCTTTCACAAAAAACCTGAGCCCGAAACCACGACTTCTGTGCTTTGAGGCAACCTCGAAACGGTTCTGGGGGCTTTAGGCCGCCTGGGTGTTCAGGCTGTCTCCCGGTGGCAATGGATCTAAGACAAGCCTTTGAACTGAACTGGCTCTCGAACTGAGGGCTGAAGGGTTTTGGGGTGTGTTTAGGGTTTTTGGGTGTCAGGGTTTAGGGTTTAGCCTACGTTTTGGCGATTCTTTGCTTGCCTGCTTCTCGATTTTCGTGCTAACCTTGAGAGCTTCTCCCAAAAAGAGTCATCGCATGGTTGATGCAGAGAAGTTCCAGGGTCCATGTTCAACGGGTTCAGGTTGACGTGCATCAAGGACCGTGCTGCAGGAAATTCCGCGTTCTCTGATGACCTCCAAAAATGCATATCTGCATGCAAATCTGAAAATTGGGAGTGAGTTTAGGGCATGGGCTTGTGGAGAAGCATCGTCTGCGACACGAGGACTTCTGCAGCGTGAATGACATACCAAGGAACTGTTGATACCTCCAGGCGACAAAAACTGACCAGCAAAGCAGTTCTGCAAGATTTTAGATATACGACAAATTCTCATCTCACAGTTAGGGTAGTTGAGCCGCTGGATGCCCATGTATTGTTCAGTTATAGGCATTCTTTTGTTCTAGAACATGCTCTGGTTCCGGAAGGGATTCATTGCCAACCAAAAACCCGACACTCTATTTCCTAAAACCCTGAACCCTAAGCCTAAACCTTATTTACAGCTCGCAAGGAGAAGAAGGGCCGCAATGATCTCACCTTTGAAGACAAGAAGATCTCTGGTAGCGCTTTTAAGCACCGCTGCAGCAACCGGCCTCGGGATGGAAAGCCCTCGGCTTTGATGAGGAATAGTGGACCGTTTTGGGGTTTAGTGACTGAGGTCCGATTCTCTGGTCAGTTGACCTTGTCTGCTGCTTAGGGCTCAGGGTCGGGTGAGGGTTCTGGGATGGGCCGAGTCGGAATCCTCGGATGAAGCAGCAGATCTCTTTTTCCATTGAGTTTTGTCTTTTCTTGCTCGCTAGTCATGGGGAAGCCTTAAAACTCTCTGAATTCCAAAGCCAACGGTTGCGGCGGGGAAGCGCCGTGGCTAAATCCAGCAAGTTCAAGCCACCAAGCAGCCACAAGACTTGCGCGCTCGGTACTGTCAACCCAAGCCGCCTCTGGGACTGTAGCAGGCTGCCATGCCCCTCTCCGAATCAGGATCTAGGGTTTAGGGTTTAGGGTTTTAGGGGTTTAGGGTTGGCCCTTGCCCTCTTGGAGTGCCTCGAGGCACGCACCGGATCGCGGGGTGTCCCTGCACCACGGCACTGTTCTTGTGGACACCGACCTCACTGCCCTCCAGCTACCCGGTGCCCAAAGTGCAAGTGCAAGACAAGGGAGAGAGAGATAGATTCAAGGACAGGAAGGGTGGTCGGTGTTCCCTCCTACGTCGGGTATCTGAAGCTAGATCTACAGCCGCATTGGTCAACCTCGTACGGTGTGTTCTGCTTACGCTCGGGCATTTGAGGAGATACCTGACGCCGGACAAGCGCAAGCTGCAAGCCAAGGGCAGCGACCTCAGCCGAAGAGCTAGAGAGGAATTTCTCGAATTGGGTTCAGGTATACCGTGACCGGACCGTGACCGCCACTCCTTCGGTAACTGCGACTTAAGGTGATAAGGATTCAGCAAGAATGCAACCAGTGTGGACAACAGCAGCAAAAAAACAAACGTCGTGGTAAATATCACTACGATTGACATAAGCAACTAAGCACCAGAAAGCAACATGCACTAACAGAACGGTAAATCGCCGAGTTAGAGTGGTTGTGGCTGTGGTCAGACTGGACATTATTGTGGGTGCTGACATGAAATACAGATGTTCATTGTACCACAACAGGACTGCGGGCAAATCGGGGGGTGTGTGAAAGAAACAGGAGTGCGAGCGACAGAAACAATGAATCCCCTGTGCCCTATCCCGGAACCTTTTGTAATTGCGTAATCTTCCTAAATTTCCAAGACCTTTCAGAAACGATGGAAAGCCGAAGCCGTCCAACTCCAGGAATCGCCAGCGTGGGCGCCCGGGTCATGAACCTCAAGGAAAAGTTCCCGGAGGCCATCGGAACCCGGAGCATTCGGTCTGCGCATCTTTACTATGATTGTAAGGTGCATTGCGCAAACAGTGTGGCCACACTTATGGCTTTTCTGGCGAGGCACGCGGTAGACGCGCCTTCCTGCTTGGGCTTCGTCCGCGGGACGATGAATGTCATTGTCATAGCCAAGACAGTTCCGCCACAGCTCTTTTGGTGCGGTCGGGCAATCCCGCCGTTGGGGGTTTCTGGAGTTTTTCAAGCATGGCCTTCCTGCAACCGACGCAGTGTCACGAATAACTTGGGCTGTCAATCGGCTCAATCGTGCTCCTGCCGCAATGCCGTGCGTGTTTTGGGTGCGACTCGTGTGTCCGCCGCCAAACCTCGCGTTTCCGCCATAGGCAGACGCAAGTTCTGACACAGTGGTTGGTGTAAAGAAATACGCGCTATTCATATCCGGGTTCAGTCAGCCGTGTGTGTTCCGGGATGCAACTCGTCCCCCCCGTCGCAGTGTGGTAGGCATTTGGGACTCATTTTGTTGTGCTGCTGTAACTACAGCATAAAAGTGCAGATGCAAATAAATACCACAACAGTAACAGTAACAAAAATAGCAACCACAAGCATAATATTAGGAACTCTAAGGAAAGTGCTCGTAATTGTGCGGTTTTGGTGGGGAACTCAAGGGTGCTCCCGGCATGCTTCTTGGCTTGGTCACGGCTTGGCAGTCTGGAGTCTAGGCTTCGGAGTTGGTTTGGGTTTAGGGTTAGGATGAGTTTGGGGTCTACCCTAAACCCAAAACCCTAAGCCCTAAACCCTAAACCCTAAGGTTTGGAGTTGGTTTGGGTTGAGGGTTTAGGGTTTAGGACGAAGATACTGGCTCCCGGGAGGATGGAGTTTCTGGAGTGAGGCTCTTTTTTCCCCCATCACTTTTCCTCCGGATTCTTATTGCGAGTTTTTAGTACTACTACTATTGTTATTCTTCTTCTTATTCTTCTTACTATTATTACTATTGTTATTATTATTATTATTGTTATTGTTATTGTTGTTGTTGTTGTTGGTATTATAATTCTTACTGTAATAGTGCAAAATGCTCAATGGAATTAGTAAGGCCCCTATGTTACTGGGCAGCAACTTGCAAATCGAGACGGTGCGGTTTACTTGACTTGTTCCGGATGGCCTTTCGGTATGTTAATAACAGTTCTAACACATAACAATATCACTAGTGCTAATGCTAATACTAAGACAAGAAATGATCGCACTAGTATTGATCAATGGAGGTGAGCCACGACAAACTTTGCGATGCACTTGTCGCGGAGTTTCGTGAGCGCGTCTTGGTACCAGAGTAAGTATGCGGGTCGGAGCATTTTGTAATGTCATTGCTTAGGGTTCCTGATGATACACGTGTTTATGAGATGCCCCAAACCCTATTCTCATTGTTTAATGAGGCCCCCACACTAGGTGCGGCCGGGAAGCTCTCTCAGGCTGTCTTGGGATTTTTTCATGACATCCCAGCCGCTACATCGGCTTTGCACCCCCAATTCGCCGATCCTTTGAGGGTCTGGAGGGTACTTCTTTTTTTTGTAATTGTATGCTCACAGACAGAGACAGACAAACAGACAGACAGACACCGTTGCAGACTTACGCACATGAAGCGAACCGACCTCTTTGAACCCCCAGGTGAGGGGGCCCAGGACGCAGAAATCGAGGACTCCCTGCAGTTTAGGGGTTGATTCGGGGGTGTGGGGCTTGAAAATTCCGTCTTGTGGTCACTGTCGTCACGGTGGCGGATGTTGATCTGCGGCAAAGCCTAAGCTCATCCGGCACGGCAGGATTGACCAGATGAGTTCAAGGGTGCAGCCTTCGCATCGGTCGAAAGTCCCCATGTATTTCATGTTATATGGCAGTGAAGTATTGCTGTATGGCACCATGTATGTTCTATTGTTTTCTATAATGTTTATATCGGATCATATATTAGTTTATATTAGAGATTATTTTAGATCATATTAGATAATATTTTAGATTATATATGCTAGTCTATATATTAGTTTGTATTAGAGTATATTCGATTTCGTTGGCCCAGCTCTCGAGTTTGACGATGCGAAGCGCGGCTGCAGGTTTGGACGACCGCGGTCTACCGCCGCCGGTGAGGGTTGAGGGCTGTGATAGCTAAACCACACTGTAACATAAACATAGTATCTTGAATTGTATTTTACCTATACTATATGCGGCATTGCATTAGAGCATTTGGTATGGCATTGTTTTTTTGTTAAATTGTGTTTCATTATCTGACATTCCATTTCATTTTAGTAGTTCTGCAGGAGATCGACGAGAACTCGGAAATGGCCCAAGACTTGATCTTTCTCCACGTGCGGGGCGAGTTGCAGAACAAGGAGCTGCCAGGTAATAGTCCGTGGCTCTTTGTTGATAAATAGTTCCAAGTGGGGCTTCCGAAAATAGGGGACCCTAGTACAGTACCCTAAATAGTAGGATCCTTATTATAAAGGACCCAAATAGGGTACCTGCCCCTAATTTTCGGAAACTCCAAAGTACTGTGAGTCCCCGGTTTTCGGTCTTGGGTCACTAGCAAGCAGCACTGAGCTTCAGAGCGTGGGCAGGCTTGCTGGCCGAGCCCAGCTGCAAAGGATGTAGGGTTTAGGGGTTGGTCGCTATGCATGAAAATGGCGATTGTGAGCTGGCCAGCAACAGCTTCTGCCCTCACTTTAAATGACAAAAACAGCCCCTTGAAAGATCGTCTCTTTCGGGGATGGCGAGAAGCACCATGCCTTCGTTTCCCTCGGCCCTAGTGTTGAGAACTCCGGTGAGCGTTTGCATTCGGTGGACGTTCGGAGATGTACCCATAGTGTCGGCCTGAGGCTGAAAGTTCTATTGCCGTAATCCCGGATTTAGGTTTGTGGGGCTTGGCGTGCAGGGTTTAGGGTTTGGGTTTGGGTTTTGGGGTGTAGGGCCCCAGACCCTCCATCTTTACTCAGCTTCAAAAAGTCGTTGACGCAACAGGAGGAATGATCGTAACGGGCAAGAAGCAACCAGCCACACGAAGCAGTACGCCTGCAACAAGGCTACCATCAAAAATGCAACTCCGAACAACCGCAGCAGCAGGAACAAGTCCCGACAGTACTCAGGTGAGACTGGCTTTAACGCACATCTTTCAACTTCTGATAAAAGCCGTGACAGAGCTGCGATCCCCTTAAGGGCACCGCCAACCGTCGAGAGGAGCACAGAAGCCTAAACCCCAAGATCCAGCTTGAAAAATGGCAATGTCTGAGCTGAAGTGAGAGTAAACTCACGCCCTGCGGCTCAAGGCTTGCAAGCACAACCTCCCCACGACCTTTTCGCATCAGCTACAGAAGACGAAGCAATGGCAGCCGTTTGCCCGATCTGCTTTGAAGACGATCGCCGGCCTGTTGAGTATGCCACCATGCACAACCACAGCTGGCACAACCAACATTGCGATGCTCATGGCATCTGTTGGAAGTGTTTGAACCGCTTTGTGGAGGTGCAGATTCTGGAGGAGGGCCGATTCAACATCAAGTGCCCCGGAATTGGTTGCAACTACCGCCTCCTCCCCCTCGATGTGGAGAGGGCCTTAGAGCTGTCAGAGCCGGAATGCCAGCAAGTGGCACTAGAGCGCTACAGCAGCATGCGCAGTGCGAGCCATGGGCAGAGGCTCCGGGAAGTCGTCCTTGAAACGGCCGGGCCTTCAGAACGCTGGCTGTTGGAGGAGTGCCAGGCATGTCCTCAGTGCCTTTCATTGGTTCGGCGCGAAGATGGCTGCCTTCACGTCTTCTGCCGCTGTGGCTGCGATTTCTGTGCCGGTTGCGGCAGCCCCAAGGGTTGCTTGTGCTCTCAGCTGGAAAAGGACCGCGAGATCGTCTTTGCAGCATGGCTCCGGATATCCCCGGACTCGCCAGCAGCATGGCTGAGGGACCTGCGCTGTGACAGGCAAGAGGAGCATCTGCTGACCACTTTGGGTTTCTTCCTTTGGATGGCCTACCTCCCGGTGGACCTACCCTGGACACGTGCGCTGGAAGAGCCAGAGCATTCACTGCCACCAGTGCGCTGGCGATCCAAACACTCGGACTATAGGGCCGGCAGCAGCGAAGATTGGGCATTCGACTTGGAGCCCGGCCACGTCTTCCGCTACCCACTCGGCTCTTGGTGTAACTTGGTTGACGGCGACGAAGAAGAGAACTGCTTCCAGCACTACCGGCGCGCCCCCCGTCGACCCTGGCGTCCCTTCGCCACTCAGCGCAGCTCTCGGCGACAGGACCGACACCACTACACGCCCCTATGCTGGAAAGACGTCCGCCCGTGGACTGGGGATGATGCAGCCGCGCCCCTGCGTCGCCGAAGGCAGCCCCGAGCTGTGGCGACAGGCGCGCGCTCAGCGGAACATGCCGCGGCTGCTGCTCGCAAGGTGTGCGCACAGCGCAGGCGCCGGCAGGAAATGCACAGACGCTTCAGGGAACAGCTGGTGCAGCTGGATTGAGGTTCTAGTAGACGGGAGGCTAGGTTGCAGAGGTTCTGTTGAACGCGAATTTCTCTGACTGCCGAGCAGCATCAGATAAAGCCATCCTGACAGAGGTACTTATAGCCTTGTAGCGTTGCATGCAGAGATTTGTCTGGGAGCTCGGCAGCCAGCCAAGAAGATTCCGTGGTTCGGGTTTCTGTTCCTTAGATTCGAGTGCTCCGGCACGGTATTGCGGATTCCCATGTCCCGGTCTTTGTACAGTGTACAGAATTCTAGGTCTATCTTATGTCAAGGAGTGAGCGGTTTGGCAGGCTTTGTATATACATGTGTACAGTTGCCAAGTGATCGGTTGCAAAACAGCACCACACGGGAGCCACATACGAGCTTCCTGTCGGAGTCGCGATGTATTGGGCTCTCCGGGAGCCTGGTAGGAGTGGCGCCTGGGCAAGACGCCGGAGTTCTCGCACCAGCGGCTCATTTTTTTTTATACTGCGTGTGCAACTGTTTTTTTTTGGAATGGGCTTGATATCATTCTTGATGATTTGTTGGGTTTTTCCATGGGGTTCATGGATTAGGCCGCCTAGGCTTTAGTTATTGATGAGGTAGGCTCAAGCGCTTTGACAGGATGTCTTTCGGGACTTGGGCCTTGGTAATTTCGCATCGTCGTTCCGTTGTGATGGACTGAACCCTGGAGCCGACTGCACCCAAGACGCGCCTGCAGCTCAGGACGAGCCTGGCTTTCGCAGAGCCTTTTCTGGGGGGCTGTTGGCTTCCCGTAGTGTCAGCCGAGGTTCGAGACTCGCATCGACGGCGTTGGGGTCTTTGATGTGAACCTCAAGGCCAGAGGTTTCTGTTGTTCAGGGTTTAGGATATAGGGATTTTAGGGTTCTAGGGCTTTGCCCGAGTGTGAGCGCCGAAACCTCCGATGATGTGGTTTCGGGCTTTGGGTGCCGAGAGTGGAGGCTTTCTGGTGGCGCGGTGAGTTTGGTGTTGGCCTACACTCTAGGGCTTTGAACCCGAAAAACCCCTAAACCCTGAAGTCCTAAACCCTAAACCTTCAAAACCCCAAGCGGGAGTGAGAGTCGAAACCCTAAAGCAAAGAGCTCCCGTTCCGCCTGGGCAGGTCGTACAGGGCCGCATCGAGGAGGCGCGCCGAGCCGTGAAGTTCTGTTGGGGTTGACATTTCCGGGTCGGGGATCCAGCATTCATGGCTCAAACCAGCGGCCCTTCACCGTAAAACCCCTAAGCCCTAAGTTTAGCAGGTTACGGGGATCAAAGCTTCAGGCTGCGATTTGGGGCATTTCAGGCAGCTTGGGCTTGGTTTCTGCGGGAGTTGTGTTGGGTTCAGGGTTTGTTGGGTCGTTGGGGTGTGTTTGCAGGGCTATATGCACCTTATGGTGGGACCTTTAAATATACATAGTCTACTATTTTCAGTCTTTCTTGGGGTCTTTCTGTTTACTGAAACTCTCATCTCCCAAACCACGTGCAGTACCTTGTTGAGGGTCCAGGGCTTCCGCTACACCTAACACCAAAGGCAAGCAACGTGCAGAATCACCCGGTTTGGGGTTTGGGGTGTAGGGTCGCGCCGGACCAAGACATGACCAATCTTGGCGAGTCAAACGTATTACGTATACGGTGTCGGTACCTCTGACAGGTCACCATCTTCAGCGACGCACTTTTCCCGGACGTGATCTCTGAATCCATGAATGTCTTGAAAGGCCGGGACATCCAGAACGAAGCTTCCAGGCCCCAATTGCCTGTACCCGAAGGCTGAGGTAAGCAAAGAGACCTGGCCTCAAAAAGGGGCAAGGGGTTCGCGGTGCTCAGATTGGTCAAGCTAAACAGCTGCGCAAGCTTGGCATGTAGCATAGAGACTTGGACATCCAGTGGAGGGATGGCGTGTCACCCTCCCCGAACATCTCCGAAGGTGTGGAATACGGCAAGAGCAGCTTCTTGCCTGAGATATATAACTAGTAGTACTGTTTGGTTGTTAGTGTTATCCGCGTTGTTATTAACCTTGTCAATATGTTTGCTGTAACTGTTATTTTTTTATTGGTATTCTTGTTGCTATTTTGTTCTGTTTGTGGAACATCAGCTCCGATTGCCTGGTGCTGCTACCAGAAGACAAGAACTACCCTAGGGTTCTGAAAGTAGTTACAGTACACATTTGTCCCAATGCAGTTCGACCCTAACCTACCACAGCACGCCATTCCTCTTCCTCTTCTTCTTCTTCTTCTAGTTAAGGTCACTGTAGAGTATGGGTTTGTCACTACTGCTTCGTCTTCTTCCTTCAGCGCTGGTCCCGTTCAATCCCGGATCACAGGTGTGCAGAGCCCCGTACGATTTACATGCATTAAATCACAACACATAGCCGTAGCCCTTCAGAATCGTCTGAGTTTTTGGCAAGGGAGTATGAGGCTCTTTGCAGAAATCTTGAGCTGATAGCGCAGAGGGGCAAGGTTCCTCACAAACAGAACGCTACATCCATATCCTGCGAATTGGCTTTACGGCACTCTTTTCGGACATCCCCACATCAAACAGAATGTCTAAGAATCGTCCCAGGCAGCACCGTTTCACCCGCTATGAGTCGTGGCCATCGCAAAGGTCGTCAAGATCTCTCATAGTTTTCTTTTCCTTTTCATTTTCGCAGACAGAATGTGTATCTAGATCACCGAAGTCTTCCTATATTTTAGCGAGGCCTGCGATGAGGTTGCGAGGTTGCCATCCAGGTCTTAAGCAGGGTGAGTCCCGATCGAAAATCTGCTGATCATGCTCTCGAGTTTGGCCAGTACAAACCCCATACCCGACACTATGATTCAATCTGACTTCCGACCAATATAAGACAGCCGTTGTAGCGCGAAACTCCTGTCTCGCTTGTCCCACATTCCTCCACACCTCTTGCCTGGGTACCGAATAGATGTCGCCGGTTCACCTGGTCTGCTCCGGATGAGCTTATGTGACTTCCGCCTTTTTTCATTAGTCCTACTGCGCATCATGTCAACTCGAGCTCGCTGTGTGAAGTGACCTTAGGCTGTTCACAGGTTTGGGGTTTGGTCGGGAGCTCGAGTCGAGACTATCGCGAAGAACGAGACCGCTTCGAACATGCCTTGTCAAACGCCTAAACACCCGAAACCCCACACCCAAAACCCGAAACCCGAAACTCTTTAGGCGTCAGCGCAGTGTTGGCAATGCTGCGGATGGAATTTGATGAGCCAGGCCTGAATGAGATGCAGCCAATTGAAGGAATGGAATGTCTGAGCCCGAAGAACGACTAGGGTTTAGGGTTTAGGATTTATATAGGAGTTTAGGGTTTAGGGACTAGGGTTTAGGGTCTAGGATTTAGGGCCAAGTTTAGGGATTTAGGATTTAGGGGGTTCTGAGCCCGAATAACTAGCAGCATGATTCGTGGTTGTGTGGTACCATCATTCCTTTGCAGTCAACCTCAGAAGAGCTATGGTACTGTAGGGTCGTTCTCTGCTGCAAATATGAAATGCACAATTTGTGTTTATGCGTCTGTTTACAAACGTTATGCCCGCCTCAAACCTTGGCCCTGAATCATTGCAACTCTGGCTGACAGCCGACACGCTCTCAACAAATCCTCACATCACGATTATACGAGACGTGTCACTGTGTTTCCGGCACCTGATACCTGATGCCATTTCCTGAGAGCCGGCACAGACAGCGGGTATGTCGACTTGGCTGTTTAGGGTGAAGAGTGGGTTCAAAAAGAAGGTGAAGAGTTCAACATGCCGGAGAAAGCCATCCGCAGTGTAGTTTCAGCACCAGCAACTACAGCGCGAAGCACCGCAACTATGCACTCACTGTCACTGTGACAATGGTGCGCGTCAGAATCACAAAGGTGAAGCAGCCTTAGATGAAGGTATTGTGATACCAGCCCTTTCGTTGTACCTATAGCAGAGCGAAGAATCAGGAACGAAGTATCAGCAGCATGCAGAGTGGTAGTGGCACTTGCAACACTTGTACCGGTAATCACTAGACTTTCATGTCTAAGTACACCATCGCAAAGTATCCCACGATCGAGCGCAACGTAAGTAGTGACAAAGGGCCAGTCGTAAGACACCATAAAGCTCAAAACGCCCAACATCCATGGTATAAAGAAGCTATCATCGGCAACGGCAGGACCGCTCAAGACCTTGGACTCTCTTTCACAGCATCTGGGCTTCACCTCAGCCTCGGGTTCCTGGTATTTTGGAGTTTTAACGCGTTGTTGGGGTTTTGGAAGTCTCTTTGCTCCGGGGAGTTGGTGGGAACAAGGGCAGTGCGTTTTTTGGCATGTTGCGCAGTGCTTCCACCGATGCTGCATGTGCAAGTGACAAATCTGACAAATCGTCGCAGCCTGCTTGCTGGCAAGGTTCATGGTGTCCAGTATTGAGGAATGAAGGCGGCAACGACTGAGATGAGCGACAGGGTGCAGCAAGGTTTCAGTAGGCCTAGCTGATATCCAAGGTCCAGCCTGTCCCACAATTTTCGCAGGCTCCTGTCTGCCGTCACCCGTGGTATGCATTGCTGGGGATTCTAGCCTTCTGCTCGTATCGCGGTCATGTGTTTTCGCTGATGATGTATATATACATACATACATACATACATACATATTACATATATCTATGTACATGTAACTGAATGTGGTGCACGCAGGGGTGAAGATGATGATCTTCATGTGTTCCATCCGTGAAGCATTGTCTAAGCCCGAAACCCTAAACGCCCTAAACCCTAAATCCTAAACCCTGAACCCTGAACCCTAAACCCTAAGCAAAAAAACCAACTTGGTTTTGTAGGGACTCCCAGGACCCTCAACCCTCCACCCAGACCCAGACCCGGCTCCAGCTCGGACCTAGTAGAGCCTGTTCAGTTCTCCACGTCCGGACGACCGGACCTGTTTCTGTCGGCGCGAGGCAAAAAAACGGCAGCACTTTCGGGGGGCCTCCTTTTAGCATTGCCATTGCCCATGGCCCTCTCTGCAGAATGAGGTAAGCTGACCTAGCTGGAGCTGTAGAAGT